TAATAAAGGAGGGTTTGAACTTTTAAGTACTTGTATTTTTGATATCTTTCACCTTGGTAATAGGTCGACTCAGAGGAGAGAAAAAGAACCCGGGCGGAGAAGGAGTAGGTTCTGGTTGTTCGCACAACAGCAGCCAATAGCTACTTTTAGCTTGCATGATGCTTATTTTAGGTAGCGTACATCCTCTAGGTTTGCTTTTTTTTTATGCCTCTTCTAATTAGCCTTTCGCTATGTGTAGTCTTTAGCCAGTTTTTGCTTCTTTTATCTAGTTTGGTACTTTAAGCTTGTTCTTACACAGCTTTGAGCTAGTGTTCTGCTGTTGAACTTTTAACTAAACTTTTTCCAAATCAAAATTTTAGGCAGCAATTTGCTACCATTGGGCTAATTTTGACCTTTAGCAAGATTGAAATTTTTAGGTTGCATACATCCTCTAGTTGTTTTCTTGTTACTTTTAGTCTTTTGCTACATGTAGATTTTAGCTAGCCTCCTGCTACACACTATAGTTTTTAGCCATTTTTGCTAATTTTAGCTAGATTATTTACACCTTTTAGCTAATGTTCTGTTACTTTAAGCTTTTAATTAGCCTTTTTGCCAAATAGAATTTCTAGTCAACATTTTGCTACTGTTTAGCTAAGTTTGGCTTTAAGCTAGCGTATTACTTCTTTTAGGTTTTAGCCAATGTTGTGCCTTTTTTTTAAACTAGCACTTGACTCTATTATTTGGCTAGTATTTTGCTAACCTTTTTGAGGTTTACCAGCTTAGTTTCAGCTTCTTCAGTAGAATCTTGCTGCAAACCCATTTCTCTAGTTTGACTTGTCTCTTTGACAAAGAAGCCAAAGCCACTGGAGGAACGTTCTGTACAAGTTTATTAACAAAAAGATGATGACAAAGAAGATTAGATATGGTGAGGAGCAGGACGATGGTCCGTCAGGAGATGAGCTCTGTAAAGAGCTGACTGGAGAAGTCGGCGTGCCTCTCTTGAGGGTGAGGCAGCGGTGGACTCCCACTGAGGCCAACGTGGGGGAGGGAGGAGCTCAGGAAGTAGAAGGGCACGTGAGTGATTCTTCCGCTGGACCAACACTGAGAACAGAGACAGACACATTCATCTGGAGCAGGTGGAGAAACAGGTTGGCTCGTTTGTTTATGAGTGATTCTGCAGAACAACAGATTTATTTCAATACTGCTCGAGGAAAAACAAACAGGAGCTGCAGAGAGTAATGTTTCTCAGCTGGCAGCAGGTTATTTAACCCTTAAATAACCAGGTCTGTTATCTGTAAGAGTCAAACTATAAGACAAAAATGTCACAACAAATGCGTGCTGTAATCAAAGCTAAAGGTCAAATATTTGAATTGGTGACCTTAAATTTGCAAATATGGGTTGTTGGTTCAGACTGTATTAATAGAAGTGTAGCAATGTTGTCACGTTCTAGACATGATGGGACTATTGCTTCTACAGTTATCAAAAACTTTGCAGAGGTATGATAAACAAAGGTCAGTCAGTTAAATATGTATAAATATGGTTTAATATAAATATGTATTTGGTTGTGAACACCACCATGGATTTGAATATGAAATGAACAAGATGTGCTTTGATTGAATTTGAAGGCAATTTCAACCAAAATCAGGTGAACAGAGTTCAAACTACAACAGTTTGCAGATGTGCCTCCTGCTTTTCAATGGACTAAAAAGTAATGGGACAAATGAAAAATCATAAATCAAACTTTCACTTTTTAATATTTGGTTGCAAATCCTTTGCAGTTAATTACAGAAATCTGGACATCAGCAGACGCTGGGTTTCATCCCCGGTGATGCTCTACTTCCTGCTTGTTCTTGATGCATGTTCCCTTCAGATTAGTTTTCAGCAAGAAAAATTCATGCTCAATCGGATTCAAGTCAGGTGATTTATTTGGCCATTGCCATTGCATTGCACAACAGTCCACTGGTCAGCTCATTGATCACTGTCTGATCATTGTCCATCTGCACTGTGAAGCTCTGTCCAATGAGTTCTGAAGCAGTTGAATATAAGCAGATAACATTTCAGAATTCACTCTGCTGCTTTTGTCAACATCACAGACAAGTCAACAGTCAAGAGAAGACTTCCTTCACCAGTGTGAATACAGAGGGTTCACCACAAGATAAAAACCACTGGTGAGCCTCAAAAGCAGGAAGGCCAGATTAAAGTTCACCAAAAATCATCTAAAAAAGCCTTTACAGTTCTGGAACAACATCCTATAGACAGATGACACAAAGTTCAACTTGTACCAGAGTGATGGGGAAAGAAATGTATAGAGAAGGAAGGAACTGCTCATGATCCAAAACATACCACCTCATTAGTGAAGCATGGTGCTGGTAGTGTCATGGTGTGGGCATGTGGCTGTCAATAGAACTGGTTTCTTTATATTCATTGATGATGTGATGCCGACAAAAGCAGCAGGGTGAATTCTGAAGTGTTTCGAGCAACATTATCTGCTCAAATTCAGCCAAATGTTTCAGACCTCAATGGATGGAGCTTCACAGTGCAGAGAGACAACGATCCTCAGCTTCCTGCCAAAGAAACCAGAGTTTTGAAAGGCAAAGAAGTGGAACGTTGCACAATGGCTGAGTCAATCACCTGACCTGAATCTGATCGAGCATTTCACGTGCTAAAGACAAAACAAGGAAAATGATTCAAGAAATGCCGTAAGTGAAGACAGTGTCAGCAGAGGCCTGGCAAAACATCACTGAGGATGAAATCCAGTGTCTGCTGATGTTCCAGACTTTAGGATGCAACTGACTGCAAAGGATTTGTAACTAAATATAAAAGAGAGAACGTTTAATTTATGATTGTTAATTTGTCCCATTATACTAAAACGTGAGAGGCACAAAAACTGTTGTAATTCGTACATTGTTCACCTGATTTGGATGTAGAACCTTCAAATTAAAGCTGCAGTTAAAATACATCGTTTCATTTCAAATTCATGGTGGTGATTACAGCCAAAAAGATGAGAATTGTGTTGATGTTGGGTCTCTAAATGAGTTTAAGTCTCTGTTATAAACTCATCTGTTTAAACAGACATTTGAGTCTGAAGAGCAGGATCATTAGGCCAGCCTTTGCTGTTGTTTGATTTCATTGTTCATTTTATTACTGTACTTTTTTCACTGTTTTTATGTTATGCTCCTGTACAGCTCTTTGGTTTTTATTGTGCTTTATAAATAAACGATGATGATGATGTCCAAATATTTACGGACCTGACTGTATATCATATCATATACAGTATACCTCATATTATTTGTATATCATAAGGTATTGAACATCGTAAGAAGGAAGAAAAGACGACTGAATGTAATTTTTTGAACTCTCTAAGATGTTAAGCTGCTCTTATCAGCTGAAGCCACACGTCTCTCCCAAACCATAATCAAACCATCAAAGGGGGTTTATTTGGTAAAACTGACCACAGTAAGCAGAGCTCCATGTCGGAAGTTTGGGTGGAACTGCATCAACCTGGGCTCTGTGCCCGGCTCCCCCTGCACAAAACCACTAGGAGGAGAATGAACAGTCAGTCAGTGCAGGCAGGACACCCAAACATCACTCAGACTAAACAAAGTACAAACCTGGGTAAAAGCTCAAAGATGGGGCTGGCTCTTGTTTTAAATACGGCAATGACTGCGGGTCGGTTTGCTGCTTGTGGATCACCTGAGGCAAAGGATGAGAGCCGGATCAGTCACTTAAACCTAAATACCGAAGAGCTCCAGGAAGCCAAACAAAAGAAAAGAGTGACCTTTAAGAAGCACAGCGAGTCGCTCTCCTCTGGGATCCCAGGATACAGACTGAATCTCTCCTCCAACACTGACACACAAACAGAACAGAGAGAGGGTAAGGAACACTCTGGAGGAGATCCTCAATCTCATCTCAGTGCTTTTCTCTGCTCCACGCTCAGTGGGTCGGCTGTTTGTTCTTTAAACAAGCTGAATGGCACCTGTGGTCCTAACTGAGGCCAAACGACTATGATGCAAAGATTAAAGGGTACCAACAAATCTGTTTGCATTTGAGCATTTCTTTCATCTAATGATGGCCGATGAGTCATTTAATTATGCTCTCTTACATGATGTCTCCATCTGGTGTTTTAAAGGTCGTCTCTGATAGGTCAGCCACAACGACTGCTGCCTGTGGCCCTTTGATTGAGCTTGTAGGGAGGCCTGAAGAAAAACACATCACATGACTTTTACTTACTTTTTAACAGTAAAAGCTGCCAGCACACATACAAGTTTATTTTGTGTGGACGGAGGGATTTAACCTGGTGTTCCGGTGAAGGTCAGAGCGTAGATAACCATCTCTCCTTGAACAGTGAAAAGAAGCCGACTTCCATCTGGACTCCAGCAGCCAGACTAAAAGAAATGAATCAACATTATTTAAAAGACTTTTCTGCCACCAAAAWAAAAAAAAAAAAAAAATTCAAACACAGAGATTTTACCTGACAACGACCCTTTATACACGGCCAGCGCTCACAGGTCCACATTCTGGTCTCCCAGACCCTAAAAGAAAAATAAAAAGGTTTTCTTACCCATGTAGAAAAGCTTTCAACGCAGCAAATTCATCAAATGTTCATAAACACTCCTCTCAGGCAGTAGATTAATAACAAAATCAGAGGTTTTTCATTAAACCTGAACAAGGCGGACGGCGTGGAGGCCAGGACGTGGCTGCCGTCTGGCGACCAGGACAGGAAGGTAACGCCGCCGCCTCCGACGCGCTGAAGGGGCACGCAGCTCTCTGCAGCGACGTCCCAAACCATCATGGCCGTGTCCATCGGTGAGGCCGACAAGAGGAGGGAGCCGCTCGGAGACCAGGCGATGGACGTGATGGGAGAGTGGCCAGGACGGGACAAAACCTGAGCGCAGCCGGACGAAGGCCTGAGTGCGTCCACGCCAGGGACAAACAGGTTGATTCAATCAAAACCCAAGCTGTATGTTAGCTTCATGTGTCATTTTAGCATCTTCAGGTTTATTTTTCTTTTATAGATTTACTCAACAACTATTCATGCCTCATCATTGGAAAGAGTTAACTCTGGCTAGTTACAAGAATACAAAGAAAACATCAGTTAAGAAACTTGGTAAATTACACATGAATTTACCCAATTTGTCCCATAACTGACATATTGTCTTTGAACTTAGTTCAGCTAAAGTGAAACAGGAAGTGACATAAGAAAGTTTGTTTATTTAAACATTATTTGAACTCTGACTCTTCTTCATCTCTCTGATAATGACTCAAAATTATCTAAAGAAACATCAGAATCCTCTCAATCTGTTGTTAGCTGTTGTAGCAAGGCTCTGTTTACCTCCGGACATTCCCCTGTGACATCACTTCCTGTTATTTCACATGCAAATATCTCAAAAACTGTTAATCTCAGCAGCATAATTTTTTTTGGGAGGCGGGGGGCGATGTTTTATCAGTTTTATCAACTTTCCCAAAATGCATTCACGTTTATAACACAAATTTACAATGTCACACATACATCTCACCCACAACCTTTAATGCCAGAGAAGTAAACTAAAGAAGCAGAAAGAGCACAGTTTGCCGAATTAATCAGTGAGAAGCTGAAATTTCCAAAAAAAAAAGGAATTTAGATGAAAATAGCTAAAAAATAGCTAAATTTACAAAAAAAAAGTTTGCAGAAAGCAACTGATAGAAGCACAGAAGGCTTTAATTAGAATAACAGCTAAAAAATTAGAAAGATAGTTGGAAAAGAACAAAAAAACAATAATTAGCAAAAATTAACAGAAGTAAGCTTAAAAAAGCACCAAGTTAAAAAAATACAGTAAAGATTTATAACTATTTTTGAAGGATTTTAAGGATGTTGAATACAGCTCTATTCATTTTCCATTAAAAAAATGGCAGAAACAGCTAAATAGCACAAACATTAAAATTTCTAAAATATCACCGTTAAGTCGTAGACTGAATATCCTGAAGGAGTTGAAACGTTTTCACTTATAAGTTGTTGAAATGGCACAAAAATTGTGGCACAAAATACGCACTGAAAATCGTACAAAAAAAAGGATCTCATAGTGTGGCTGCCTGATGAGCATTTACACTGTTGTCTTATTTTGAAAAATGATGGAGTTGTAATAAAAAGCTTTAAATAATATCTAACATTTCTTAATATAAAACAAAGGAAATGACATCCAACAGTAGTGTTGGTATTTTTAGCAATTTGAACCATTTGGCAAGAAAAATATCCAATCTCCTAACAACATGTTGAACTTTATTTTTATTTTCTAAACATTTTTCAATAACTGAACCCTCTTAAGGAGCCAGAGAGGCCCCTGGTTTTACTCACCTGGTGGACAGGGAGCAGGGGTCCACGTGCCACACCAGTAAACAGTTCTGGCAGGCGACGGCCAGCGCCGACGCACACAGAGGCTTCCACTGCACCGCTGCGATGTTCTTCTGCAGGCGGTGCTTCAACGTGGGTGTTATGGCACTGAGGGGAGAACAGGACAGCTGTCAGTGTCTGCTTTTATCTTAGCGTCACTGCTCTCCTTTTAAAGTTTTAGCTACGGCACCTTTTGGGATTGTAGATCTTGATGGAGTCGTCCAACAGGGCGACGGCAAATTTATCAGTGTGAGGATGCCAGGCGAAGGCTCGCACCACACAGTCGGGCCTGGAGATACAGGAAGGATGGGTCAGTGTTTCAACAAAGCAAAGGCTTCAGAACGTACAGAACTACATGTTCACTGAACTGGGTTTAGCTTCAAGTAGATCTCCTCGTTGTAGATTTTAATGACAAATGATTGAACTGATATTTGGAATATAAAACACAGCTCATGTAATCACAGTTTTAAACCTGACAACAGCTGCAGTTCATCAACTTCTTTTCAATAAAACACAATTTTAGGCAACTAGACATGAAAAATAAAGATTCCTCACCACAAACCAATTTTTAGCCAGAGTTTTAGATTAATGTCATCTTATGTAATGGAGGTATAAAGAACAGCAGGAGTGAGTCTTTACCATATGATCTACTGTAGCAGCGAGGGTGCTAACCAGAACAGGCAAGTGTCTGGATTTACCATTACTGTACATATTGACAAAATAGTGAATAATAAGGACTAATTTTGTAAAAAAAAGTAAAGCTATTAATGATAATAATGCAAATAATGTTTTAGAGCGTATATAAACTATCTAATGTATATAAAAATGTCAGAAAGCTGTGTGTGTTATGGATGAACTAAAAGAAGAGAAACTGGAAAATGTGTCTCATTTCACAAATAAACAGATTTTATCTTATTTACCTCATTGTGGATGTGATCTGAGCAGAACTGGAGCTAATAATGTAGGTTTAAAACTAAAATAAGCATATAAAACCAACGTAATCACTGTTAATTATTGAAATGGTTAGCAGATATTAGCTTCTGTAGCATATATTGTTATACAGAGTGTAGCACTCTGCTAAACCATGCTATAATTTAACACAAAATTCTTAAATATTATAAGCTGGTTTAGCCTCTGATTTATGTCATATTTACATAGTGTAAAATAAAATTATATATTTGACTATTTTTGGGGTTTCTATTTGACAAACCTGAACTGTTGAGAAGATGGTTAGCTAATAGTTGAGACAAGTTTCGTTCTAAAGTATCACCCAGTGAACATTTTCTACGTGTCGACTGGTAAATATTTATTATTATTATTATTTATGACGGGTAAGAAATATTAATTATACTTTAAAACTATTTGAAGTCATATTTTTTTAGATCATTGTTACTTATAAAATGTATATATTTTTCTTATAAATCATTTGCTGGTTTACATGATTGTTGAATGAAATTAACATAACTACAATTATATTAACTAATTATAAATAGATTACAAATATGAACAACACAGATCCAGCTGGGCTTGCTGTTAATCAAAGAGTTGCTTTGTCAGCTGGGAGTGGTTGTCAGCGTACACGCTCGAGTGTGCGCTGTGAGTGACTCTGAGCTGCTGCCACATCAGATTTAAGTTTAATATCAACAGATAAACACAGCTGACATTGGTTAATGCCAGGTTTTGCAGCATTAGTCAGCGTTCGCAGAATGAATTTAGTACGACTCTCAGATACTACCACACACACAAAACTGCAGTTTAATGAACTGCCACTTACCAGTTCAGCACCTGGGAAAACTCAGCGATCATGTCCTCGCTGCTCAGCTGCAACAAGAAATGAGCAGGTAAATAACAACAACAACAGACCTGCTGAGTGGAGATATTTAACCATCCTTACTGTGACGTGAGGAAACAGGGAACCGTGGAACGAGGAGGCCCATCGGAGCAATGCCAGGATGCAACCAGACGTCACCGACAGCCACTTTGGCACTGAAAGAGTTACAGCGGAGAGTCACCGGGTGCGCACAGTGTGCAGTGACAGGAAGTTCAAAATCTAAAAGCTTTAGTGCATCACGTACCCTCTGCATGTGAGGTGGTGATTTCATTGAGCAGCCCAGAGAGCCCACCGTCCCTCCTGAAGACACAACTTTCATAAATGATCTCTTAAAGCGACAGAGTTAAAATCCTCCTCCAAACATTCTGACAGCAGCTGCTGCACGCAGAGAAAGGAACATTTAAAAATGTCTGCTGATTTGCATGACTGAGGTGCAGATGTATCCATTAATTTAGCTGGGAAGCTTTTTGCTCTTTTTCTTTTGGCTCTTTTAAAACTTTGGACTGAGTGCTCACACAGGACTGCAGTGCTCGTTAAGATAAAACATCTGTGGTTACTCAGAGTGGCATTCAGGTGTCTGAATTTATACATTTAAAATAACATGACTGACTCCAACAAATACTAGAAATATTAATGTTTCTGTTGTTGGTTTAATTGAAACCACAAACAATGTGATGTTCATTACAGACGTAACTTTCCTGTCAATTACTAAACTCACAGTTAACAAAACAGAGACTAGAGTAGCTCAGGTCTGTACAACCTTATTAAAGGCCCTGTCACAACAGACAACTTGTGCCAACTTATGAACTTGCAACTCTAATGCTGAAAAAGACTGGATTTTTAGGATATTAAAAATAAAGTGGCCAAAACTTATGGGTTTCATGTAAACTAGGTAATTAGAAAAGACACTGGAATGGACAATACGTGTCAGTTAAATTAAAATTATATGATTAGCTGGATGTGAACAAAACGGATTCTAGAAATTTACAAACCATAACTTAAATTTAAAAATGATTAGCTATAAAGCTTTTCCAGGTCTTTTCGCATAATATGATTATTATTCATGTATAATACCATCTCGAGTATAATACGATCACTATTTTTTGAGCTTCAAAAGCATAAAAATCTAATCATCAATAACCTGTGTATCATACTACCCCCGCCC